TGTTACTACTAGCGATGGCCTCCAAACTAGTAGCTTCTTGCTACTAGTAGTAATGCCAGGAGCTACTAGTAGCGTCCTTGCTAATAGTAGCGATGGCCTTGTTACTACTAGCGATGGCCTTCAACCTAGTAGCTTTCTGCTATTAGTAGTAATGCCATGAGCTACTAGTAGGTAGCGACGCCCTTGTTACTACTAGCGATGGCCTCCAACCTAGTAGCTTCTTGCTACTAGTAGTACTTTCAGGAGCTACTAGTAGCGTCCTTGCTACCAGTAGCGATGCCCTTGTTACTACCAGCGATGGCCTTCAACCTAATATCGGGCTATATTAGACCTCGCAGTTGAATGGTACGCACTACCTGGGTGTCGAAGAAGATATTCATGCATGAAGACTCTGCCATGTCAGTCCATGCATGCTCGCTTCCAGAGTCTGCCATGTCTGCACCTTGAGCTTTCGGCCGTTGCCGGAAGAAAGAAACTTCTCGCTGTGGTGGCTCCTTAGATTCGATTCGAGATGCTTCCATCGCATTTCGACACAAGTGTGCTGACGATCTTTTGATCTTCCGGCAACGTGGGTGTTTTCAACTCAACACTGTCACATTCAATTTGGCTTACAGCATCTGCTCATGATTGCCAGTCACCGCTTGTGGAAAGGAATGCAAAATGTGTTCAAACGATTGAACTGTTCATCCATGATATGATACAAGCAAGCTATATAATTATGTAATTCTGAAAATTGGCTGGCGAAGAAGGGATGAAAAATGAACGATATCTTTTGAGAGAGTTTTGCAAAGATTCGGCTTCGAGATCGAGTCAGGGAACTTCGGGAGCTCCGCTTGGCACCTCAGAGCTTGAGGCAAATAGCAGTAGCTTCTTGCTACTAATGGTAATGCCCTTGTTACTAGTAGCGATGGCCTCCACCCTAGTAGCTTCTAGCTTGGCAATGGCCTCCAACCTACTAGCTTCTGGCTACTAGTAGCGATGCCCTTGCTACTAGTAGCTTCTACTTTTTTCCCCACCGTTACTTACTGAAGTAGCTGCCCACTTATTAAATAGGGGCTGGGAGGGCTACCTCGCTACTAGCTAACAGACACAGGATAGCTCACGCTATTCATTTGGTTCCTAAGAGCATTCTGCTCGTTCTGCCTATCCTAAAAGCCATTTTGGTTGTACGGCCGCATGGGGTATAGCCATAGCGGTCTCTTTAAAGGGGAGAGCAGTCCAGACCTGCAAGTAGTAGCCAGCGTCAATGAAATGAATGCTTCGTGTGGACTCCAGGCCATCGCGATGGCCTCCAAACTAGCGATGGTCTCCATGGTTACATGGACTGTATTTGTTGGAAAATGTGATAGTACGGTATGTATAGTCAATGAAGCGATTAGAAGAATCTCCTCGGTGGTCCTTGGGTGAAGGCGTTCCCTGTCGAACTGTAGCAACAAGATCAAGAAAGAGGCTTCCGAGGCCGAAATGTCACTGTTTGACTCACAAGAAGCTACTAGGACCAGGAACAAAGGGCATCGCTCCTAGGGGCTCCTGGCCTTACTAGGAGCAAATAGCTATTAGTAACAAGTGCATTGCCAGTAATTAGTAGCTGTTTGACCCACAGAGATCTGTGGCCAAAGACGGAAGGCACCACAGCAAGCAAGGCCAAACTATTCGCATGGCGACAGTCGAAATCTGGAATCGTCCAATGTCTTAGCTCTTTTCTCAATTCATGGCCAGATATCTTGTATGATCAACTTGCAAGCTGAAATCTGCTCTTGAAGTGATCCTACGGGTGCCACAAAAGGAATGAATCCGCTACAGTAGCTTTCTGAGGTTATCTTCTGCTCCGTAGGTTGCTACTCACGGCTTCTTCTATCTTTGAGCCGACGTGCTGTAAAGAAAACAAAATAGAATATACAAGAAAAGGCGGCGCAGCAGGAGTTAGGGATTCTTTGAGACTAAAACCCCAAACGTTGGCACTGGAGCCCGATATCTGGAAAACGTATCTTCCATGTAATTTGAGAGGAAGCGTCCTCCATTCATATCCTGGCCTCCAACCTGATAACAATGGTTTCCACCCTAGTAGCGATGGCCTCCAGCATACTAGCGATGGCCTCCAACCTAATAGCTACATGTTCCTTGATGTACATATCTCACTTTCTCATTTTTGCCTCATTTTCTCGTCCTACTCTTCAGCTTCTCCCGCCTCCCCGGCACAAAAGGCCAAAGCGGAAGAGCGATCGAGGTGTGCAACCTACATCAAGCCATCGAAAATCGAACTGCGAACAGACTTCGCAGACTACTTCGCTACATGGAATAAGTGTTTAGCATGTGAAACTTCGGACGCTTGCTGTGAAAGTTGAAAGTTGCAACCCTCTGAAAGCGACTGCTCTGGAGCTCAGGCCCCGAAGGTGTCTGGCAGGAGATGGCCATAAGACAAAGCCTGAGAGAAAAAAAGACACCCAGTGAAACGATTCCCAAGGAAGCACCACTAGTAGCAAGGGGTTACTAAGAAGCTTCAAAAACATACTAAACGCGTCTTGTTACTACAGGTGAAACGATTCCCTAGTTACTAGAAAGCTTTATTACTAAGAAGCTTCAATCACATACTAGAAAGTGTTATTGTTACTACAGGTGAAACGATTCCCAGTGAAACGATTCCCAATGAAATCATGTGAACTCCAGAACACATAACTTGTCAATACATTAGTAAATTGAAGGTTCAGGTTCCCAGGATTGCTAAACCTAACAATAGAGCACCCGACAGTTTCCCACAATGTGAGGAACAAATGACTTCTTCCAGACTCGTGTACACAACCAGAAATGCTGTGAGGAACAACTAGCGATGGCCTCCAACCTACTAGCGATGCCCACAAAAACCGGGTCTTTCTATCACGACCGTTTTTTTGTCTCATGGTCTGTGTGGCAGTTACAAACGTGACCTGACACAGCTGCTCTACCACATTGGCGAGCCACCCACTCCATATGGGCCGGGTAGTTCAAGCCTTGCCTCGCACAACATGTAGGAAATAGCATCCTTCTTAATAGCAATGGTCTCCAACCTGCTTACGATGGCCTGCACCCTAGTAGCGATGGCCTCCAACCTTTTGAAAACGGAAAGGGACAATTTTTGCTAAATCTCTTGAAGTCTAGTTTCCGTAGAAATCTAGGTGTGTCCCAGCATGTGGTAGCTTCTTGAGCTGTAACAGCTTCTTCTTTTGCGACTGGTTAGCACCCCGAAAGTTTCCTTGGCTCGTATGTTCATTCCGAAATGGCCTGCGTGTGAGTGCCAGTCGAATGCCGCTACGCCGGGGGCCGAAGAAGCCCAAGTCTCCCAACACCTCCGCAAAAACGAACCTTCTACGGGCTCTTAGAAGCAATGGGCTCCAACCTAATAGGGATCGCCTCCAACCTAGCAAGTAGCAATGGCCTCCAACCTGATAGCGATGGCCTCCATCCTAATAGCCATGGCCTCCACATACCAGCGATGGCCTCCAACTTACTAGTGATGGCCAGAAAAGGTTCGTTGTGTAAGTTGCTCTTGTGAGCTTGTGAGCGTTTTGGAGGCACTTGAAAACACTCAGGGTTTTCAAAGCCCAAAACGTCAGGTCCCTTTCTTTCATCGAAAAACATGCTTCAGAAGTCTAGACCATCGGCCTTGAGTCTAGTAGAGGTCCGAGACCCAAGGCACTAACGTTTCGGAGTTACTGGTTCGAAGTTAGGACAAACAAAAGGAACAAATTGATAAACGCATTTTGAAAATTAGTTAAGCTTGTTTCAATGGTATTATGTTAATTTGATTATCTAAATGTTTTTTTCCACTCTACAAGGCCAAAAGACCGTCGCTTCGTATCGCTTCGCTCCCCTCCTCCGGGCACAGCCAAATCTCTCGACCGCTGCGGCGAAGCTCTATTCCGGAGGGTAGAGTGGCATCGAACCTAGGAATCGAGCTGTAAACCATCGCAATTAGAACTGTAAATATCTGTAAGCTGCAAACCAGTCCGGCAAGCAACGGAAAGCGAGAAGCGAGCGGGCGCGGAGATAGCACCGGTCCGCAGACTTCGACGGATTTCGACGGACGTCGACGGAGTTCGACGGCTTTCGACGGTTTTCGTTTGCGTTTCTGCAGCGTCACTTTTTATGGTTTCCGCTCACGGGCATCAATCAGGCCACCAGACTCTCAGTGAGCACTCGTTTGGGACAAAGTAGGTTTTTCTTAGGGGTCTCTTGGAGGGGGGTGTGTGTGTCACTAAGGGCTACGAGTGGGTACATGCATATATAGAAGCGTGTACGAAAAGCCCACGTCAAGAATGGAGGTGCGAGGAGTAGAGGCACTAGGCGTGTGTGTGTGTGTGT